GGTGAACGCACCGTGGAAAATCATCCCAAATTACATGACTCCACACCTAGGCGGTTTTAAGTTCTTATTATCATGCACTAATAAAACCAAAGAACTCAATTTAAACAACATTCCTCGTTTCTATTCAGAAATTCTAAATTGTTGGGAAATGATAAAAAAAATCAAAACTGAAATGATCAGGAAAAAACAGATCCATACGATGCCATAATATGGAACAACCATGAAATAAAAATCACAACTAAGCCAATATTTTATGAGTCATGGCACAAAGCAAGTGTTACAAAAGTTAAACACCTTTTAAACCCTAATAGGGGAAAATTCCTGACGTATCAAGAATTTGTTAACCTTTTCAAAGTTAAATCTAGTTTCACTGTTTACTATGGCCTTCTCAGTGCAATTAAAAATAAATGGAAAATTTTGCCTACTGGTAGACAGAGGCAAACACAGAAACAGAACTGGTATGACAATGAAGAAAATCTTTCCAACACTGCTCTGGACAAAATAATGGTTGAGAACAAATTTCAACCATCTACCAATGAAAACAGAATTATTAGTTACGGAGTGGAGCTTTCTGAAATCCAAAAATTATATATTAAATGGCCTTTTTCTGTTACGGAAAATACAAAGTTAATAATGTTTCAGTTCAAGATAAACCACAATATCATCTACACTAAAGACAAACTTAAAGGAGCAAACATAATAGCTGATGATATATGCTATCTATGTAAACGTGAACAGCATACAATCCAGCATATGTTTTTAAAGTGCTCCCATGTAGCTTTATTTTGGAATGAATTTTTTTGAGTGGTGGTCGCAAGTCACAAGTGAAAACACTCAGTTACCAGACTCAACAGTTTTATACAGACCTACAAACCCACTCAAGCACCATCAACCCCTAAGCTTGGCTTTGTTGGTGGCAAAATACTTCATTTATAAATGTAACCTAAATGAACAATCTTTACTCTTCTTGCTGTTTAAGATACAACTTTCAGAAAGCATAATGATTGAAAGGTACATAGCAATAAAAAACAAAACTGCCAAGCTCTTTAATGAGAAATGGAAATGCCTTATATGAAAAGATTTTGTTCCAGAAATTTTGCCACCACCAATGTCTCAATAGGACAAATTAGTTTACTTACTTTGTGTCAACATTGTAATGGTTTTCAAATTTCTAATCAGTAGCACCTTGCATTAATTTATTTTTTTATGGATTGTAGTCCTCAAAGTGCTGTAGTTTTCTTTTTGCCTGGAATTTCCTTTACTCCATGTTTTATTGTACTGTAAGTGTTTGCGTCATGAATAAATAAAATACAAATTCAGCTTTGAGTTAAACGCCTCTTTTGCTGGCAGCTTTTCCTCGCTGAACCTTTTAAAACAATCCATGTATTCGTACAGATATATCCCCTTCTTCATGAGCAGCATTCTTTTTTCTTCGTCTTTGTACGTTTTCTGTGTGATTTTGAATGACTGGGGGTCACTGTCTTTTACAAGAGAATCCAGAAAGAAATTCACTCTATCGATGAATCTAAGATTTCCCAGTGAGAATGAAATATATTTTTCCATATTGTTTGGGATGCATTTCATTTTCCCCTACACTTTGTAGGCCAATGAACTTTATTTTTCACGGGGCATCGTAGTAGCATTTTATGAGGCTTTGGCTGCAATACATGCCTATATCATGGTTATGCACAGATATTGAGTCCAAGAACAGATCCTTGACCAGACTTTTGTTGCAAATGTAGCGGTCGATTGCACTTCTGTGTTTTTCCCAATCTTCGCGGCTCATCTATATCAGCTTTTTATCTGCCATTATCGCTCTAAGCGATTCTTCTTGAATAATACAATACAAAAACATACGTACGGCTTCCTTTCCTCTGTATGTAACGGGGCTGAATACTTCACCATCGCTTCTTACGATTATACAAGAAAACCCGCATGCCTCGTGCATCTCTGTTCTCACGGTGAAGCTTACTTCTTTTTCGCGGTTCGCAGCCTTGGATCTTTCTTAACAAACACTCAAAGTCAGCATATACCACAAAAGGCACTTTCATCTGCTTGTGGTAGTTTGTGAAAGACGCCGTTTTCCCTCTCTTTTGGCAGCTCTGTTCTTGTTGGCCTTTTCAGCAACCCTTTGCATTCGGGTGTGTGTCTTTCAAGTAGATCTTTTGTTGTGTAGCCATGCAAACAACGTTCAGAGAAATTTTTACTATTAGAATTCTTGCTTTGATCATACAAGAGTGCTGTGAACCTTTTCACATAGTGTAGTGTGTGTTCTCGCCTTCCTGGATAATCATCAAGTTTATTCTTTCAACATTGCTGCCCTTTTCGCTGATTCTGTGAACAATAGCATGGTCTTTCTCCCAACCAAATACATTTATGGCCAGATTTGGGTTTTGCATCTCAAGTTTATCAATCTGTGAAACTGGTGTTGGGAAATTTATTCCTGTGAAATTCAGGCTGTCTTCTGTTGGATAACTACTGGGTCTGATCGGATTTTTACCTCTTGGTGCTGGAAATAGATGAGCACGGAGTGACCATCTCAGACACTGGTTCTCTCTGTTTTGTATGGTAAGGATTTCTTTCTTATTTTGTAGCTTTTTTGGCAGTAGCATGTAGCTTCCTCCATGAAATGGTTTGTATTGAGCTACGTTAACAACGTTGTTATAATACCTTCTATAACCCATCCAGACCCTCTTTGAGACTGTTTCCAGTTCACCTTTCACTTCATCAATGAAGTCATTAAATTCGTTGTTTATCATTGCTTCATTGTTTATGTTAAAAATTGCAGGATTCCTCTGAAAGAAATAATGCTCGATGTATTGTTGTTCATTTATATCTCTGATTATTGAAAACTTAACAAGTCCAAACTGTGTTTTAACACTCCAAGCTTGCTATTTCATTTTCAATCAAATTAGTCAACATTCTTTTTGTTTTTCGCGCAAATTGCAGAAGATCACCTTTGTATGGATAACCTTCTGGAATGTTCATTCTCCACGCACGAAGCCATCCATTGAAATTATTTCTAACTAAATCAAAATAGATGTATTTCTCTCATGCATCCCTCTCAGGTGCAATAGGCCTCCTTTGCCTTTGATTTTCCTCTTGTGAAACCAATCCATAGAACAATTCCAACATGTCTGATAAAAGTCTTGCAGGAGCCATGGTTGTTATACCAAGGTAACATTTTTTCTATAATAGAAAATAATTCTGTTACTGTTCGGGTGGCAATGCATATGCCTGCCTGAGTTTGCATCTCATTGCATGTGCCGCACACATATATAATGAGGTTTCTGTTGCTTTTTGTCATCGGGTTTTTTCATATTTACCATGCTTATGTGCCACTTATCGTCAGCCAGCAAAGCATGCAAGACGGCTAACGATAAGTAGCACATAAACCCAGTAAAAATGGAAAAAACCCCAATGACAAAAAGTAACAGAACCCTCATTATATGTGTGTATAGAAAAGATAGTTTTGCTCACCTGGAGGTGTAATTCACACAACTATACATCAAATCTGTTTGTTGCTGGTCGAGCACCATTCAAAAGCTGACAGGTTTGTTTGTTTTTCTAGCACCAGGCTCTTCCTGCCAATCAGTGTCTCCAACTCTTGAAGTGGTCAGGTCTCGCTATTTTCGGTAATTTTGTTTAATTTTGTCAATTACAAGTTCTAAACATCAAATTGGCAGAATTGGCAGAGCAAGAGTTTTTCATTTGCAAAATCAGGGCCACATAACGAATGAGAATGATTTTCCAGCTGTGTAAATGACATTTTTTTGATATAAACTGAGATAAATTAGCAAAAAAGTTGGGCCGTCATTTTTCAAATTTTCCCAAATGCAAACCAATTTAATCCTCTCCAGTTTTGTCCATCCATGTCCTTTCTTGGCTTTCCTGTGTTTTGTTTGAGTTCCTCTATAGTTTTGAACCGTTATAGTGATATTTTAGTTAATCAAATGATCATTTGATCAGTGCTGAAATTGCCTAAAATTGTGTGACCTAGTGCCACTATAATTATGATCAAATTCTTGATCACATTTACATGCATAATACGACTTTTATCAACCAGTTAGTTATCTCCATACGTTGTAATGGTTGTGAATTCATCCATCACCAGAAATCAGGGACATTTCTAGTCTGCAAATAATCCATATTCACACAGAGTCAAGAAAAACCTTGTGGTGATTGCTGAGAGGGCCTGGGTATCAGAACTCATCCATGAGAATCTGGTACTAGGAACATGGTGTTTTTATTTTGAATGGCGCTTGATCGAACATGAACAGATTTGACGTATATTTGTGTGAATTACACCTCCAGGTGAGCAAAACTATCTTCTCTATGTCTTAATTAGTATTTTGTTACAGTCCGACTTGATCCGAGTTGATCCGACGCAAACTAGCAATCCGAGTTGATCCAGTGCGACTTTTGTACCTGCCTGATTTAACATGTAATATTTCACTCAAACATTGTTTTCAGCCCATTGATCATGACAAACAGAAAGAAAGTTTGGTCCAAAATATTGTAGCAATTTTTGGTTACAGTGAATTATCACCTGATAGTTTACTGTATCAAACATATCAAATTATCATTGAAAAATTTGTATGGATGCACGAAAATTCCTCCAAAAATCCCGAAAAGCCACTGCAGTTATCTCATCGAAATTCATTGGCATTACTTTTGCACAATGCTGTATAATTCTTTTCTTTGGTGATGTGATCATGAAATATGAGGGAGGACGTGATTTCCAATTCACAGTCCTTCCTCTGACTGTCAGCTGGTCGACTTCTTTCAATAATTAGAAAATGTGTACATGTTGTACAAGGATATTTTTACAACAAAGCTTACGAAATGATGCTCCCTGTGTGAAGCGAACAAAGGTGTCAGATCTGTGTGAAATGAGAATTCATAATAAATACAATTCATTTGTTTCATTTGGCATTCTCTGCTTACTCCATGTGTACCTACAGTGTAAGTGACTTAATTTTCTTCTTACCTGTACATAGGTTTGGTAGTGTATTTTTATGGGATAGTGGATCTTCAGTGGGTAGTATTGATGGCCATAATAAAAGTATAAATGCAGTGGACTACAAGCCCACTCGACCATTCCGCATCTGCACTGCCAGTGAAGATAAAGAAGTTGGCTTCTTTGAAGGACCACCTTTCAAGTTTCATCATTTTTCCAAGGTTGGTTCAAAATAATAATACATCATATTGCAATAAACAGTCAAACCTCTTCTTATGGATACCACATTATACAGACACCTCCATATTATGGACACCCAGCTGTGACCATTTGGTGTACTGTAGAGGTTTGACTGTATTTGGTTTCATGAGTTACACTTTACATCCTTGGTGAAAATATTTTGAAGATCTTCAAGCTAATTGAAGGCTTTCGTGCAAAAAGGGCATATATAACATTTTGGGCCGATTTTTATTTTTTGCAAGATCAAGCTAATTTCTGGCTAATTTTGTGTAATTGCTTTTGTTCCTTTGCACTTCATTTTTGAGAAATAGCAAATGCAAAAAATTCAGTTTTCCAAGGGTATCTCTTGGAGATCTTTCGTTGAGTGAAAAACAAAAGAAACCTTTGTTTTGCTGAACGATGAAGTCACCGAAGCGTGGTATTTGCCGTTAGTTTTATTATGCATATAATAACGCAATTCTCTTACTGTCGCTTCGTTAGCGCAAGCGAATAAGGCGCTGAACGGGCCGGATTCGAGTTTGTTTTGTCGTGACACTGGTTTGATATGAGGCTGGTTGCTTTTTTTTTCCAGTCTATTTCTCTACTTCTTTCAGAAATCAAAACATCTATTTTTAAAAAAATCGTGCTGTTGAAGCTGCTAAAAGTAAGTGTATAAGTTCATGCCGCGTCAAAATCCACCTTCAAAGGATTCGCTCCAAAAGATGCCACTCGGAAAACTAAGTTTTTTTGCACACGTTATTTCTCAAAAACAAAGCGCAAATCAACAAAAACAATTACGCAACAATGCTTTTCATGTCAAAGCAAGTCAGTCTGAAAGTGAAGAATGATCATCGCAGTAAATTTTCCAATTTAAGCAATTGGAAAGAAGAAGCCTGAAAAAAAAATCAGGGCTTCAANNTTTCCAATTGCTTAAATTGGAGAATTTACTGCGATGATCATTCTTCACTTTCATCTACAACCGCAGTTCATATATGATTTATTTCATATAAACTTCACAACAAGTCAGTCTGCCAATTATTAGCTCGATCCTGCAAAAAATAAAAATCGGCCCAAACTGCTCTATACGCCCTTTTTGCAAGAAAAAGCCTTCAATTATAAGGAGCTTCAGAGATTAACGATCTTTGAAGATCCTATCTAGGATCTTTACCAGATCTTTAAAAATTCTTGCCAGGGTCCTTAACAGATATTTTGTATTCTTGTCAGGATCTGTAAGGATCTTTAAAGATATCTATGAAGATGCTCAAAGATTTTGCTCAAAGATCTTGGTAGATCTGATCCTTGCAAACATCTGTACTAAATGTTCAGATTGTTTAAGTTTAATTAGCTTTTAGGAGAGAGGTTTGCTAATATAAAAATATTTTGAGCAGTAAAAGAATGAACTTTATATCATTCCATTCCTTTTCTTGTTTGGCAGGGCCATACCAACTTTGTGAATTGTGTGAAGTACTCCCCAGATGGTGAACATTTTGTGTCAGGTGGTGCAGATGGACAGGTAGAAATTTTTCCCTTTATTTTAGCAATTTGTAAGTAATTACTCAAAAATCCTTACATTACACTAAGATGATATTATGTAAATATGTACTATGCTTTATCTTGCTCACCACCTTTAGATCTTCCTTAGCTGGAAGCCACTTTAATTGTTTATTTTCTGTTTGGGAGCCTTATAACCCACACACTCACTGTACTGTTCTGTAGATCACCAATGCAAGAAGTACAATGTATATTGTTAACATCAAAAATGATAGGGAGTACTTCACAGTATATATTCCATACGCAGGCTTTCTAATAGGCAATAAAAAACAACAATTTGCGACTTTTTCTTGCCAGGCAATGCAATACATGTACACTGGAACCCTGCCTTACATTCACCCCATTAATATGGCCACCATTATTACGGCTACATGTTGCTGACCAGTTTAATGGGGTTCCATTGTACATGTAAATTATGTATCGTGCAATTTTTTCCTGAGCTATTTTACGCTTATTTTACTAGTTCTCTAAGGAAGAAAAACACTTTTGTGTTTCTCCATAGGAACAATAATCAAACATGCATAAATTGAGATTAAAAAGACTTGTGGTGCTTTTAAATATTTCATGCTCATTGACAGGCCAGGCTGGTATCCTTCATTTTGTGTGTTGACGTTTCTTGTAAAGTTTCTCAGTCTTAAGTGTGCTTCCAGGATTTGGAAGCAAGCTGCGATTGATCTAATGTAAACAGCTGTTTGTTGCAGCATCTCGACGTCCATGTTGGAGGAAGGATTGGCATTACAAACCCATGTCAAGAGCCTCTGAATAGGAGGCTAGATTACATGGTTTTGACTCTACTTATGATCAGTTTAGTGGTGGGAATTTTAATGCCAAACCAAAGCAAAGTACAATTAGAAATTACTTTCTTTCATGTATAGTACTTTTAATAATTTACAGTCAAGTTCTTCCAATGCATAAATTGCCCATGCATGAGGATCATAAATTTCATTCCTGTGGAATACATTGTAGGTTTACATGCAATCAAGTTATAATAAGTTACACTAAGCAGGAGTTGGATTGGAATTGCTTGATGTACAGTATGTACTTGTATATATGTATGTGTATAGTATCTTCAGTAGTTAATAGAAACAAGATGGTACCTGAAACTTTACTACCTATTTCACTTTGGTTGATATCATCACACAAACTCTGACATTGGGATTTCTTTCCTACATCTACATATAAATAGTCCATTTATAAACTATAAAGTTTCTGTCTACAGTAATACCAATTAAAGCTGTAATGTTTTTGTAGATTTTCCTTTTCAATGGTAAAACAGGAGAGGAAACCTGCTCTCTGGGTGGAGGGAAAGCTCACAAGGGTGGCATCTATGGAGTAAGTACTGGAGACACATGTACTATTAGGGTTAAGTCATACTACATGTATCAATTGCTAATTCAAAACAGAACAGCCCAATAGTCCAGTTTCGAATTCGCCATGACCGCTGATTAAAAGCACTGACAACGCATTTGCACAGGGTTAGCCTCGACCTAAAACAAAATATTCGCGGGAAGGTGCCACAAATTTGAAAATTAAACAATACACAAAGCTGTAAACAGGTCATCTCGCTGGAATTTGTGAATATTTTACTTTAGGTCGAGGCTAACCCTGTGCAAATGCGTTCTCAGTGCTCTTAATCAGCGGTCATGGCGAATTCGAAACTGGACTATTGAGGCCTGCATCCGCCCATCTTGACTGAACCAGCTTGCTCAGCAAGGGGTTTAAATATTACACTGTGTAATATTGCGGTCGGCGTTCATCCCAAACGATTTTCTGACGAGAAATTCATCAGCTTTAAGGCCTCTGGAGCCCAATGTTTAACCAAGATTTTATCGCTTTTTTTCTGTAAATGAACGTGAACACATGTGTGATCGGTCAATGCTTGTCTTGTATCCGGCGGGTCTAAAATAGTGGTAGCTGGTCACTGGTAACTGGCGACTGGTAACTGGCGAATGGTAAGTGGCGACTCATACCTGGCGACTGGTAACTAGTGACTGGTAGCTGGTCACCGGTAGCTGGTCGCTGATAACTTATGACTGGTAACTGGTTACTGATCACTTGAAACTGGTCACTGGTAATTGTTGACTGGTAACTGGTGACTGGTGACTGGTAGCTGGTCACTGATAGCTGGTAACTTGTGACTAGTAACTGGTGACTGATCACTTGAAACTGGTGACTGGTAACTGGTGAGTGGTGTCTGATAGACTAGATACAGTGAAATGTCCCTTACTACCGATGCAGTACACTAAGCACAGATGCAGCACACTAAGGGTACCTTACTTCACTAAGCATACTGTGACAACTTAGAAAAAAATATTATTTGTCCACACACGCGTTTTTTTCTTTCGGTTCCTATTTATTTTTTACTGTAAATTTTGCTATTTTAAATACGAAGTGAAGTGAAGTTTTCATCCATGATTCCTTTTTTCGTCATCCTCTCAATTTAATATTCAAAGGTAAATGGTAGTGGTTGGCGGGTAGTGGGTGGTCATATTTCGCCAGGGTTGTAATAAGATCGCACGGCACTGAATATTTGATATATTGAATTGTTTTAGGTACATGTATTACTTACTGTTAATGGTTGGTTGGGGTCTACTGTTATGAAAGAGAATGTTTATTGATTTATGTTCTTTTTTGTTGGAATTAAAGTTTTTGTAAATTGATTGGCAGTAATGCGTTTTGGTCCCCCTACCAAACCTAACCTACCTAACCCAAATTCCAGTAACCAGTTACCGGTCACCAGTGACGTACCATACCAGTCACAAGTTACCAGTGACCAGTGACCAGGTACCAGTACCAGTCACCAGCTACCAGTATTTTTAGCCCTGCCGTCTTGTATCTTGCTTTCTGCGGTAGTCAGCAGTGTCGCCAGTTCGTTTGTGCTTTCACATTCTCGTCTGTCCCCTCTAGAAAACCCCCCAATGCCCTCAGAATTCCAATCATAAGTACCCCCATGCCTTTGGATTTCCAGTTCAATGAACCCCCCTTTTCCTCGGAATCCCAAAAAGCCGCCTCTGATATAGGTTGAGCACGCTACTAACAGTTGGTTTCTTCCTGTCAGTTATCGTGGAGTCCAGACAACAAGTTTCTCCTCAGTGCATCAGCAGACAAGACTGCAAAAATATGGGATATAGCTGCCAACACTTGCTCCACGTTAGTACTACATGTATTTAAGAAAAAGGTTTACACTGTACTATAAAAGTGTGAAATTGACTACAAAACACTTTCGAATTCAGTCATGGTGTGTTATGGATTTACATTCAGCGAAGCTAAAATGATTTGGACCTCATTAGATGGAAAATATCACAGCAAGTTAAATTCAGAAGATTTTAATATTAACTGAATGGATGGTAATCATTGAGCAAGCAACTCATTAGTTATTGATTATTTGCAAATGGTCAATGAGCAATCAATTACTAATCGATGACCAAGGGGCATCAAGCGCCAGCCTGATGGGCCTCTAAACTTGAATGTCGACCTCGTGTTTTCATCTGGGGGAGCAGAAAGACTCTTAGTAAGTAAATATTTCATAACAGCTTGCCAAGTGCAAGGGAACATATCAGCCTTAAAGTTCCTGGATCCTAAATAATCTCAAATTTAAAGGCATAGCCACTTGCTGAAGAGAAACGTGGTTATCCTCAGCTAAGATTTGAAGATTATCCTTCTTTTAGGGAGTTTACCTTTGGAAATGAGCTTGAGCATCAGCAGCTTGGATGCCTTTGGCAGGGTGAATACCTCCTTACTATCGCCCTGTCGGGAAATGTCAACTATTTGGATGCCAACAATCCTTCTTCCCCTATCAGGATTATTAAGGTAGCTTACACATCATAAATAGCCCAAAGAAAATATGCACGCTGATTAGTTTAAAATCTTCCGCTTTCTATGACTCAATAGAAACACAGAACTAGCACGAGCTGTTGATGTGACGATGGCAAGAGCAAATAGAATTAACGTTTTTATGATCAAAGTAAACAAGTTGTTTTTCTTTTTTTTCATTGCGGAATTTTAAAAAAAAAATAAAATAGAGAACAAGTTCTTCATGTTTCTATCGAGTTATAGCAACACTCGTGCAAGTTTGGGAGAACTCGAAAAAGCTGTGGAAACACTTGCCTAACAGCTCGTGTTCCCACACGACCCACAGCATTTCTCGATCTCTCAAACTTTCACCTGTATTTCTGTAACTCGATAGAAATACGGTACATGTTTTCTATTTCCTTAATGTTATATAATGCTCACATTATTTAGAGGGATTCTGAGCTAGTCAAAAGTAAGCTGGCAATCTCATCCTCTGTCTGTTAAGCTATTCACAAAGATAGTAAATATTCGCATATCACAAGATCACCTAGAGCAGCTAATTGTGGATAACGTTAATTAAAGTCAAATTAAACAAAAACAAGTTTATGTGCTGTACATGTAACAGTTTGTTTCAGTTCAGTTTTTGGACATGTTCTCTTTTGACTTATTAAGGACGTACGCACAAACATTTTCAGTCAATATATATTTTTTAAATTTTCACTGCAGTCAGATAATGAGTTACTTGTCAGAAATGCACAAAGAAATTGGGGGTCACCGACTTCGTTTCAGAGATAAAGCGTGTGGAAAACTACCCTGATGTTACTAAGTAAAAGCTTGGCGCACGTAATTCAGCATTGTCTACAGGGGTTTATAGTTAAAAATATCGTAGGTGAGCCAACGGAGGCAAACGGTCTTAGTCATATTTTGTAGACGTGGGTCTGTTGCATAAATAATTCCAAATGTTACCCACGTTTTAACAAAACTTAACCCTTCAAGAGACATTTGAAAGCGCCGCGAAGAGCTAAAACTAACAGAATTCGATGGTGCATTTGGCAAAAAATTCAAACTTCCAATTGATAGATTTGAATTTGCGTGCACAGTAAGGATGCGCCGAAACAATTAGCCCGTATTTCAGCGTTTCAACATTTTCGACAGAGCTGTTAAACATACTTTTTTCTAGAAACTTGTATATGAAACTCACAAGTAGACATCTTTGTTTGCATCTCTCTGCAGAATTGAGAGCTTAATATAATTATTTTGTGAATTACTTGTAATATATTCTTGAATGCGTGAATTTGCATTATGGCCTTTCATACATATAGATTAATAGATCTTGACTATACAAATATTTTGGCTTGTAGGTTATCAACTTCTTTTAAAAGTTTCTTTATATTCACCCAACTGATTTGAGTTTTTGTTGCAGAGGTAGTTTAAGAACAATAAACAGTTCCAAATAAATTATGTATTTGCCGCGCGTAATAACGATTAATATTCAATGCTGATTGATCTCACCCTCTCCCTTTTAAACATGGAATTGAAAACTTTTGCTTTCGTAAAGGATAAGTTATGATTGTAAAGCACAGAAACGTCATGTTAAGCATATTCCAAATTAGAATTACATGAAGTGTTAAAATATTTGACCCTGTGAACAACCAAGTCAAGTGGAAAGGAAAGTCTGGCAGTTACCAACCGACTTTCCTCTATTCTGTACAGTGTAGATCAGAGTCATAAATATTCAAGAGGAGCTATTTATTTCATACTTACTGAGATGTTCGCACAGAATCGATCGCATGAAAAACTCATACGGAAATTTCTTCATCCAATCACAATTGCGAAACGACTTTCTCACACGTGGGAAAAGCGTTTCATCCAATCACAAATCATCTGTCAAAATGAATCAGTCAGTTCGCAACGCGTTCACGTTGTTGTTGACGCCCCTTCGGTCTTCATTCACAGAAGTTTGTAGCGTTTCCACAAGTTCACTCCAGTTTTCTGGCAAATTAGCTATAACCCACAGACAATGGCGGAAAGTTCGAATTGGTTTATCGCTTTAGGTAAACCCATTAAAAAGTACATCCAGGAACAGCAGAACAGAAGGACTCGAGCAAAAACCCGACGAGACGTTAAGGTTAGCTTGCTTAGCGAATTCCTCAAACAAAAGGAAGAGGTAAGAAAAGTTTTGAAGAGGGCAAATATGCCGTAAGCATTATCGAGTTTTAAGAGTTTTACCAAGGAAATTTCTGGAAGCTCGAAGCAAACGACTTTAAAAAAATCAAGGAAAGGGAAACAAATCAAACGCAGCTGAAGCGTTGACTGTTGACCAGGTAAACATTCTGTACGAAATATATTACACTAGGTTTCTGAAGAAGTGACAAAGTGCTTGCACTAAGACGGAATAAAAAAATATCTTGACATTTGTTCTGCCAAATGGCGGGTGAAAAATTTGAGGGTGAAAATCTCAGTAAGTATAAAATAAACAAATTACAGCATGGAAAGTGCTTTGTACGGTATTTACGCACTCGCTGTTTTTGTATACTCACTCGTTCGTTTTCTGATACAAAAGCAACTCGTGCGTAAATACCCTACGCGCGCACTTTACATGAAGCAATCTATATATCTATATGTTTGTTTTGTTTGGTAGTACTGGATCGACCTTTGAAACTTTCTTTTTCTTTTTTCTCCAGGGCCATAATAAGAACATTTTGTCCCTTGCATCTTCTAAAGATGGCTCAACTCTGTACTCTGGAAGCTTTGATAGTCGTATTTGTATCCTGGCTTGTACTCAAACTGTGAGAAAATACTAACTGCATTCAATCTTGATATGTGTACGAATGTCTAGGGTACAGGTACTTTTAAGAGCAGAATTACTCTAAACACTTATGAATTAATTGCTAGTGTAATTAATAAATTAAACTTACGCAATTAAAAGAAATGCCCATCAGTACAAACCTAACTAAGATTTGTGGTACTAAAAATCATAACAAATTTCAAAATCAAAGATAGGCAAATATTTAGAGGTACATGTACCATACAACTTGAAAAGATGAGTAGTCCCTGTATTATTGTTGTCGGAAAGACTTAACAGTGTGAAGGTCAGTGGAAAGTGCAAACTGGGAATGCAGAGATATTCAAAGGTCAAGGCCACAAGAATCAAGTATCCGACATGGTGCTGTGTGGAGACAGTCTGGTGACTTGCAGTATGGACGACACTGTACGATTTACATCAGTGCAGACTCTGGAATATGGGTACAATAATCACAGTTATAATACCTTAGCCACGACCCACCTGACCTGAAATCACTTACTATGAATACCTCTGTTCCAGTTAGATGTAATGGATCCAAGCTATAACATCTGAATGTTGTGGAATAAAAGCATAAACAACAAAAGCAGATGATTTAGCTTGCAACCTTTGTAGAAAATGAGGAAAACAGTTTTGTCTCAAACGTCCTGCACAAGAACTAATTGCAAGCTTGTTGCTGAGATTTCTTGGAATGGAGTGCAGCCATTCTTATTTACACATACTGGCAAACATGCACATTCTAGGTTAGCTAAGTGTTGCTCTTTCATTGTTCTTGATTTTTATTATTATTTTTTCTTGTCTGTTCTTAGTTCTCAGAGTGTAGGTATGGGAAGCCAGCCAATGCATATTGACGGAAAAGATGGTCTTACTGTAGTGGCTTGTTTAAAAGACGTAAGTGTGTACAGTTTATATCAAAGACTGCACTTCCTCAGTTATCACAGTATGGCCAGCCAATGCTCATAGCTCATAGTAATGGAAGTGTATTCTTAACTGCCAGCTTAGTCAATAAAGGGGAATGGTTTTAATATGAGGCCCAGCAAACACAAAAGGACCAAACAAAGAAGGCCAGATTTGTGTTGAAAGGTCCCCGACCGTGCACAATCTTTTGTTTAGAGCTCATTCACTATACACAATTGCTTAACCTAATTGTTTTTATCGGTTAATTCCTCAGTCAGTCAGCTATTGCGTTTTGCTGCAGTCAAGGCCAAAAAAAGAGAACAAAAACATACAACAAAGAACTTTGCCGGGTTTTATAACCATTCCCTTCTATTAACTATGATATATTAACTATGTGCTGCCACGTTAAACATGCTTTTGATATAAAAAAAATGTTCTTTGACAATATACTAGCTGAAGTCTTGTGATTATTGCAATCGTGACGTACGTCATAGACTGAAGTACATTGTAGGCATCTGCAGTACTTTTTTTCTTGGCCACCTTTCCATCTTGGTAAGTGTTCAACTGACTTCATGAGTGGGACACAACGTTGTTTACCGCCACAAACCTGTAAGTTAGCCACTCCAAGCGTATCTGTTGTTGATGAGTTCAATTCATTGATAACAATGACTTTGTATGGTTGAAATGTAACGTGACGGTGCAAGGTACATGTAATGATGGTCTCCTCACAGACCCACTCACGTTATTGTTAAACAGATTGCTGTGCTACGAGATGGAAATCCCATGTTTTCACTTCCTGTGGAGTTTGAACCTCAGTGTACTGCTGTTCATCCTGGGCAAACGGATGTTGCAGTGGGAGGAAAGACGGTACAGTCAACGTAGCAAGTAGTTCTAGAGTTCTTGAATTGCTCTTACGTAAACTGCGCGTTGATTGTTCCTGACGCTATGTTCTACTTGAATTGTTAGTGTCTGGGTGGGGGTGGGGAAGGGTCTGTAAGAGCCACGGACAGCTGGCGCAGCCCCATTAACGGTAAAAGTGACCTGCAGTTTACTGAACCCTAATCTGTTCAACGCTAATTAGGATACTTTTAAACTAAAAAAGATGAACCGAGCTATACGTATAACTTACATGACTGTATATGATGTGTTTAAATCGCGCCGACAGAGAAGAAATTAATTTGAGCAGTGAGTGATACTTAATCAATTAATGAACATTTCATTGCCATTTACAGGCCGTAATTTTTGGAACTTTTACGAAGCAAATAACATTTTCAAGCGTCGAAATCGGTTATGCACAGTTTCGTACATGTAAGTAAACAATCCTTTTTTGTTTGTCGTAGAACACAATTCATATTTACACCGTGGACAACAACACGCTCGCGGAGAAAACAAGCGCGTCCCTGCCAGAGCGAGTGAACATGGTGGGTGATTTAGCATACTCTCCTGATGGTGCTTATTTAGCTTCAGCGGATGATGACCGACGAGTCACTGTCTTTACCTCGACTGATTATAAGGTAGGACACGTATTATTGGCTTACTTGAAGCTGTGTGTGCACTGCTATGTAACTGTGTATATGCATTCTTCTAGAAACTAACCGTAGCCAGGGACCGATTTCCTGATATTTTGTCGTTTATTGATGTGTTGTTTAGTTAGTGTGGTTTTCAATTGAGTGTCGAAAGTATTCAAGCAATTACTTTGGTTTTGGTTTTGATTTTTATTACGGCTTGAGATTGGCTGTAGAGTCTAATTGGTAAGTAATTACTTTCAATTGGTTTTGGCTTTACGGCACCCGATTGAAAGGCGTTCTATTTTGAATGGCATGTAGTCGAGCTAAAACTGAAAAAGACATACTTACAGTTACCGGTCATCCTTGGCGAGGAAATGTTATTCAGTGTCACCCGCTAAATTACGAGACAACTGAGACAACAACTCAAGGGTCATGTATCTCTAGCTCATCTGGAAAGTCTCCCCAAGTTAACACATGTTTAGCCGGCATTCTAAGTGACTGTGAAACAGAGGTGGTCGAAGTTTGCTAGATGGGACTTTGTAAGAGATGATCACGTAATAGAGGTGAGCACGCGCTTGACAAGCGTATTCACTCTCTTACCTCGATCTTCTCTTGGACCCAGTCAGGACTGAGTTTTGTTAATGTAAAGCCATTAGAGCAGATTTAATTAAATTTGTGACAGTTCAACGTGAAAAAATTTGTTAGAAGCGCCCCGCCCCCAACAAGGCTAAAATTTATGATTTCGGACAATATTCCAGAAATTTCAACAATAATAATAATAATAGTAATAATAACAATAATAATAATAATAATAATAATGATAATAATGATAACAATAATGATAATAATAATGATAATGATAATGGTAATGATAATGGTAATAATAATAATAATGATGATGATAATAAAAGAAGGACAGAATAAATGACACTACGACCCGCGCGCTTCACGCTTGGGCCTTAAATCGAAGGGAAAAAAACTCGGTCCGTACACTACGGACCGAGAACTCGGTTAGTAAGAGGTATTTACAGACCTTCTCTCTAACAATTTAAATTCATTGTCGTTTTTGTCCATGGCAATTCCGCAAAAAAAAATTGTATAACCCTTTTAACCGTTTGGCATGCATTACCTCCATCAATAATTTGCAAGCGCTAAAATTTTCGGATTGCTAGAACTTCGAATTTCTACCAAGTGTTTGTTGCAGTCTTGAGTTCTACTGTATCATCTCTTGTTTTGGACAGGGAGATGTTACTCATATTTTTTATTACTCACTTCCTCCATTTTGTTATTTTTGTTCTTGTAGCGCAAAGTGGAGTTAACCGGACCTTATGGCCGTGTAACTTGTTTGGCCTGGACACCAGACTCACAACATCTTGCCTGTGGAGGACTGGACACTAACTTGTTCATCTACAACATGGAAGACCCAAGTAAAAAGATCCAAATAAGAAGTGAGGAAAATATGAAGTGGTTCACCAACTGAGTAATGCTGATTAGTGCAGATAACCAGAGCTTGAATTATTGGTTAAAATGCTGGGACGTAAGCGTGGTGCTGAAATATTTAGCTGTTATTAACCGAGCAGGAGGTCTGTATAGCTGGTTTTCACATGACGTCACCAAAATTCGAACTACAAAACTATTGATCTTCCTGAGATTTTACTTAAATGATGTATAAGAGCAGCTGAAA